GGTAAAATATTAATATAGAACGATAAATGGTAAGAAATATAATAAATTACAGATGAAATGTTAATGATCAACCCAAATAATTTTGAAGCCTAAGGATTATTAGGTATTACAATTTAATTACTAATAGCTTAATCTTTATTTAAATAAGGGAAATTTATGGAATCATATATAATCTTAGATTAAATGATAAATTAATTTAATGATATAGATGAGTTTGATATGATGATGAAATAAAAACGATTAACATCATTTCTTAATTTTTTTTAAGATAATAAACATTAAGATGAACATCTGATTGAAGATGCAAAAGAAATTCTAGAGAGAGATCCTTAAAGTTTTATGGCAAATTTTATATTATCAGATTACAAATTGTGGATAGATAATGTAGAAATGCTTTATAAAAAATATCCTAATAATAAATGCTTTTAATGGTCATATTGTAATTATTTTAAATAATTGATAGTTTATTTCCTATTATAATAGGAGAATTATAAAGGAATAATTAAGTTAAATACATAATCTATTTTCCCATTATTTATTATAGCTCCCTACCTTTAAGATGAAATACGAGATAATATGGATGATAAAAATACTATTGAATATCTTGATAAATTAAATCCCAATGAACCACAAAATAGATTATTTGAAATAATAAAAAGTAATTAATCTAATTAATGAAATAGGCATAATTCTAATTGAAACAGGTAATTAACAAGAGTCCTTTGAGCAGCTATAAAAAATATTATCTTTTGATGAAGTGATAAGAGAATATGTCCTTACAGTTTTATTTTATAAGATGGAGATTTTTAAAATCTTTATTAATAGATTTTTAGAGACAAAAACTAAACGTTAAATAGAATAAATGATTAAATAAAAGCTCGATATTGATCCAGAGAATTTAGCAGTGTGGTTTCTTAATAGTAATTATTTTTTTAATTGTAGCCTATGTAAAATTGTATGAATGAAGGGGGGATGATTATTATTAATATTATATTTTATGATAAAATTTGTCGAATTTATATTAAATGATTTAGTTGTTAAAGTGTTATGGAAGTTCTAAAATATAAAAATAATCTTATAAGTAAAATAAGTTTAAATCATGATATATAAACTTTTATTTAATTTAATAAGTAAAATCATTTATATACATCCTAATTATTTATTGCTTTAAATTATAAAGATTATATATAATAATGTACAGTTAATATATTTACTTCATAATATTAATTTATCAAATTACTTAAGCATACCAATTCAATCATTCCATAATCATTTTATAAAGAGAAGGAGGATTTAAATGCACTCATTATTTATTTCAAAATCTACTCTAACAACTTTGGGATAAGTTAAATTATTTTTATATGTCATAAGAATGTCTTTGAATTAGGATAAAAATAATTAAAAGATTATAACTTAAATATAGTATCCTTTTAAGGCAACTTATAAGTAATGATCACCCAAATAATACATGAAATTAAATTGTCATTTATTGTTGAGAATCTTGTTTAACATTGAAAATCATTTTTCTAATATAGCTTAATATTTTTTAGAAATGATAAATTTCTTCTATGCAATACTATTTTATTAGTTTCAATTGATGAATCATGATTATTTTTAAATCAATTTATAAGAATAATATTAAATAGAATAGAGATATTCATGAAATAAGTTTTTTTTAAATATTAAACTTATCTAGGACTAATTGAATTAATAATTCATTGATAAATTCAACAAATAATCAATTTGTTATTTTTTAAATAAATTTGATTTCTTCATATTATTCTTTTTTTTAAAATTATTTATTAGGAATGAAATTATCAGTCAGCAAGATTATAATGAACTTTACTACTCACAATAAATCAAAAATTAATAATTATGTTAACTCCTTTTCCATAAGACTAATAATTTAGTTTTTCGTTATCAATTATTTGCTATTAATATTATAATTCCTTATTTTTTTACTTTAAAAATAAATGAAATTTCCTCCAATTTATTCACTACTAAACCAATTAAATTGTTAATCTTAATTAAATTTTAATTTAACTCATACTGATTGGAATTTACAACTTGATCAGCCATTATAATTATTTTTTCAAATCTTTATTAATTTAAAAAAACTCTATTATAATAAACTGCTTAAATACCTATTAATGATTTTAAACTTTCTAAATAATGTTTCAAAGATTTTTTTCCTGATAATCCAAAACTTTATTCATTTTTTTGAACAAAGTATATTAAATTAAGTAATAAATATATCATTATTTGCCAATTGTATTGATATTATTTAAGGATAACAAAAGTTAAATTATGAGTTAATTAATTCAACTTAAAGTTTAAAGCTTTAAAAGAAATAGAAGAAAAATAAAAATTTAGAAAAAATTAGGATAAGATAATAAACAACAAAGGTTTGCGAAGGAAAAAATAAAGACTATTAATGAAAGGTTGAGAAAAGAATGCTCAAATTCCTTATCAATCAATTTATGTGGATCAAAAATAAGAAAATATAACTATTAAAAAAGTTATTAGATTTAAATGTTAAACTTAAGGGTATAGAGCATCTTGGTTAAGAAAGACTTGAAGTTAAAAACATAAAACTTAAATAAAACAAATTCAAATTATATGAAAATTTATATTTTAAAATATATTATTCAATTTTACAATATTATGTAAAGGAATTTTCAGACCCTAACATTAAGCTTCTAGCAGGTATTTGTGTTAAGGAATCAACTTACAATAAATAAGAAGCATGAAAAATTTTAATTTATTGCTATACAATTTCATAGTCCAACCTGAAATAATTCCTTAGAGAATGATACATCTAAAAAAATTGAGGAGATGTGTAAAATCTTTACTTAAAGATGGCGTTCAAAAGAAGTAGGAGGGGAAGATATAATATTTCTTATCTTAATCATGATAATTTTATTATAAAATATGTTTTCTTATTATTCAAGATTTTTTATTTAATTCTAATATAGATCCTTTTTATACATTCAATTAAGAAATTTATTACTATGATTCTAGAATAGGAGTCAAATTAGCATTATCGCAAAAAGAAATCTTTTAATTTAATTCATCATTTTATAAGTCATCTTCAATCAATGTTGTTTTACGTTTAATATTTGTAAAGCTAAAAATTGTAACTGAACATAACAAAATAATCACTTCAATAGAAAATGTTAGTGTGACTCTACCTTTATTACTATCAGATCCACCTACTACGATAGCCAAAAACTATGAAAAAAGTACTAAAAATATTCTTGATCCTATATACATAATTCCAACTGCAAAACTTGCATTTATAGGAAATATAGAATCACAACTCATGTCCATTAATAATGGAACATTTGGCATTATAAATAATCCAACTATACCTATTGAGATATATATTGCAATTCTATTCTCACTTATAAGACAAAAATAAAATAAAACCAAAGATGAAATTGAGAGTATCATCAATATTATTGTTATTGGTTTTCTATTATTTGAATATTTCTTTAGTACTCCTGCTATCACTGCTAATGATGCTACAGCACTTATATTAACTAATGATCCTGCTATAGATACTTGTTCCTTGCCTTAACCACAAGCTTTGAAAAGATATGCTAAGACAATCATTAATGATTTCGTCAATCCCATAAAAAGAGCGTAGGCCTAAAAACAAAATAGAAATTATCTATTTGAAAAAATTTTGAATAGCGTTTTTTTGATATTCTTAGATTTTTCTTCTTATTTTACTAATTCTGAAGGAGGCGTTGGAGGATTACTCTTTAAAGTAAAAAGACATAATAAGAGCACAATCGCAAAGTAAAATAATATCATGTTAAGTTTATTTAAAAGGTATTTTCCTTATTCTATTGATTCAACTGATTCATCATATTCATAACCTGTAAATATAAACTTACCTGGTATCATAAATGTTAATACACTACTAATAAGGTTTAAAACGTTCATCACTGTTATAATAATAGCTCTAGATTCTGGATAAAACCAATTTTGTGCCATTGTAGCTTAACAATTTAGAATAAAAGGTTTTCCAGCTCCGATTAAAATTTAACCAATCACAATCATATAAAAACTATGATACTATAACATCAAGATAATACCCTGTGTAATTAACGAACAATTTAACTAAACTTCCAAGAATTGTTAAAATTACTCCAACTTTTGTAGATGTTGCCCATCCATAATTTACAATGACTAATCTATAGAAAATATATATTTAACATTAAGAACAAGGAATTGATAAAATTGGATGCATAATCATACAGTTTCTTGATGTTAAATTATTTAAAAGTATAACTTGTTGATGCCATAGTCACCATAGTCTCTGATGTATTGTAAATTTCTATTAGCTCATTAGAAACGGAAACATAAATCTCTCCCGGAATATTATTTACAAAAACCGATAGGGTGTAAAGAGTCAGAATTATCCATCTATATTGATATAATTTCGGTCTTTCAAATTCTAATTTGTTATCTTTTTTTATTTCCTGCTCCATTAATTATGGATATAATATAATATAATTTAAAAATATGCTTTAGTAATTATAGATTTTATCACCAATATAAATAAGTAAATTTATTGATTTTATCACTAATTAAAAATAAATTTATAATTAATAGGATGTTGTATTATTTTTATTAGCATGTAGTTGTTTACAATTTCTAATTTGAATTAGTAAAATTTACTTGTATTGAAAAATACAATTGTAAACAAAAACACTAGCAAATAAAAATTGGTGTGATCACTTTGTCCCTAAAATTTGAGCGATGAATCTCTTTAAGCAAGTTTGAAGTATACTATCATGTTCCAGATCAAATGTTTTGGATAGTGATATAAACATTATCTGAATTGATGATATTTTATAGAAATAAAAATAGACAATAATTAGTTAGGAATAATAGTTTCTATTTGAGTAATTATAAGATTAAGACTAAAAATATTGCAATAAGGCACAAAAAGATAAGTTTAAATTTTATTATATTATTGTGTACTTCTATATAAAATATAAATAATAGAAATCACTTTTATTAAATTATAATCTTCTTAAGATATAAATCATTTCTATTATATGATCATATGAATAATAGTTTTCTATTAAAATTTAGTGGATTTAAATTGGTTATTTTTTCTCACTCTTATATTCTTCCAAATGATTTTTTTAGAATATTCACAATATTCATAGCTTCAACTATTATTTTTAGTTGTAGCATTTTCTAAAATATTTAACATTATTTTCTCTCAAAATAAAGAAATTTATTTCTGAGCAATTACTCTAATACAAATTTATCTCTGAATTCATAAATTCTAAAAACTTAAAGTATTGTATCTTTAACAAATAAAGGATTTAATAATTATTTTCACTTTATACCCATTCAATATTTTAAGCACTTTTTTTATAATAATTCTGTCCATCTAACTTTCTTTTCTTGTAAATAAANTATAACTTGTTGATGCCATAGTCACCATAGTCTCTGATGTATTGTAAATTTCTATTAGCTCATTAGAAACGGAAACATAAATCTCTCCCGGAATATTATTTACAAAAACCGATAGGGTGTAAAGAGTCAGAATTATCCATCTATATTGATATAATTTCGGTCTTTCAAATTCTAATTTGTTATCTTTTTTTATTTCCTGCTCCATTAATTATGGATATAATATAATATAATTTAAAAATATGCTTTAGTAATTATAGATTTTATCACCAATATAAATAAGTAAATTTATTGATTTTATCACTAATTAAAAATAAATTTATAATTAATAGGATGTTGTATTATTTTTATTAGCATGTAGTTGTTTACAATTTCTAATTTGAATTAGTAAAATTTACTTGTATTGAAAAATACAATTGTAAACAAAAACACTAGCAAATAAAAATTGGTGTGATCACTTTGTCCCTAAAATTTGAGCGATGAATCTCTTTAAGCAAGTTTGAAGTATACTATCATGTTCCAGATCAAATGTTTTGGATAGTGATATAAACATTATCTGAATTGATGATATTTTATAGAAATAAAAATAGACAATAATTAGTTAGGAATAATAGTTTCTATTTGAGTAATTATAAGATTAAGACTAAAAATATTGCAATAAGGCACAAAAAGATAAGTTTAAATTTTATTATATTATTGTGTACTTCTATATAAAATATAAATAATAGAAATCACTTTTATTAAATTATAATCTTCTTAAGATATAAATCATTTCTATTATATGATCATATGAATAATAGTTTTCTATTAAAATTTAGTGGATTTAAATTGGTTATTTTTTCTCACTCTTATATTCTTCCAAATGATTTTTTTAGAATATTCACAATATTCATAGCTTCAACTATTATTTTTAGTTGTAGCATTTTCTAAAATATTTAACATTATTTTCTCTCAAAATAAAGAAATTTATTTCTGAGCAATTACTCTAATACAAATTTATCTCTGAATTCATAAATTCTAAAAACTTAAAGTATTGTATCTTTAACAAATAAAGGATTTAATAATTATTTTCACTTTATACCCATTCAATATTTTAAGCACTTTTTTTATAATAATTCTGTCCATCTAACTTTCTTTTCTTGTAAATAAAAATGAATAAATTTCATTTGGATCGTATTTAATAATTTAAACAATTACCTTAATATATTTTTAATAAAAATAAAATAACTGATAAAGTTTCATTATATAATATTAATTAGTTTTCATTTTTTATAGGAGTATATTTGATTAATTTATATTTAAAAAAAAATTAGCTTTATGATCCTAATTAATTAAAGGTCTATAATAATTTTTTGTTTTAAATTAAAAAAGAAAATTATAATTTTTTTGTCGTCGAATTCTCTGAATTTTGAATTTTAAAAAAAAATTAATTTTAAATTTATTATCGTAGAATTCTATGAATTTTGAATTTAAAAAAAAAATTATATCTTATTTGTTTCATATCACAAATTTATTTAATCTTGTGAATCTTAATATAGAACTAAAGTATCCTGCCATTTAATCACATTTAATACTATATATTTAAATCTTAAGATTTTTTAAAATTTTGTATATAGAGTTCTTCATTCACAAAGCAAATTTGTAAGAGAAGAGAATTAAAAGTTCTGAAAGCCTTGTTTTTTAGATATCCAAATAGATTAAGAAGTGAGTGAAGAAATTAATTTATATTGAATTATTTTTATTTGAGATGTTCTAAATGATAGAAGCCTTTTTCGATACTATTCTTGTCATTATTATTATTCTAATTATATATAAGATAGAACTGTAAGCCAGTACTCTTTGTATCAATCACAAAGCATATTTAAATCTTTATTAGAGTATAGTATTTTAAAACACTGCTGGATGTTTCAATGAATTTTAAGAAAAAGATTTATGAATTCTTTAGAAAGAGCATTTTGATGTTTATAAACCCAGAAAAATCATTGTATGAATTAATAATGATAATTTAAACATCTTTCAATCTATTACTTTTCTTATTTCTATCATTAAGGAGTATGGAAATATCAAAAAATTGTGTTTGTGGACATGTTAGAATTCAAGAAGATTGTCAAAACTCAGGTTTTTGCATTTGGCAAAATAATGCTTGCATGTTAAACTATGGATAAACATACAATAATAATGAGGACAGTTAAAATTAAAAAACATGCAAAAATTTTGCAGAAGAAGACTGTAGATTACAATAATAGTGTGGATTTTATTTGGGTTAATGCATTACTTTTTAAGATTGCAGCATATTCAACTAGGATTCTTGTTAAGAATCATCCTTTAGATGTGTTTCTGATGGAACAAAATGTGTTGAAATAAAAGATTGTAACAGTTACAAAACGAATTATGGATGTTCAAATAAAGATTAGAATGGAAAGTATTGTTTTTGGGATGAGGCAATGGAAAATAAATGCCGAGATGTTATTATTTGTGAAGAACTACCTATATATCTAGTAAATCATTTCATGTGTAAAGAAGGTCTAGATGGTTGTACTGTAAATGATTTAGGGTATGGATGTATTAAATAGATGGACGAGTGCACTAAATACTACAATGATTCTTAATGCTTTGAAAGTTAAGAAAAGATAGAAAACTGTTTCTGGGATTCTTTAAATAAAAAATGTGTTGATAAAATATGTGAAAATCTACCATTTTCATCAGATTATGAATGTTAGTCATATTTGAGTGGATGTACAACTAATGGAATTCATTGCATATAAAGAAAACAATGTAGTGATGTTTAGAATAAATTTGGTTGTGTAAAGGATGCTTAGGAAAATAAATGTGAATATCATTAAAATTAATGTAAAATAAAAAGTTGCAATACTGCTTCAGATTCTTTAATAAATTACCAGTAATGCTAGGATTATGATAACTTATTGGATTGTGTTATCTCTGAAAATGGAGGATGTAAATAAAGACCTGAAACATGTGAAGGTTATGCAGATGAAATTGACTGTTATTCGATATAATAAGAAGATTGTATATGGCAAAATAATAAATGTTGGAAAAGAAAATGTTATCATGCTCCAGTTCATTATGGTCAAGCAGAATGTAAGTTATATGGAAATTGTATTGGAAAAGTTGACGGCGGATGTAAAGAGACACCATAAATTTGTGATGAGATTTCTGAAAAATAATTTTGTGAATTTAATTATAATTAAGAAAGATGTATTTGGTTAGATGATGAATGCACATTATTAGAATGTAATAAATTGAAATTGCCAACTTATAATAGTCATTAAGCATGCTAAAAGGCTAGTTAATTTTGTACATTCAAACTAGATTCTTATGGTTGCGACGATTATTTATGTGAAAATATTTTTGAAATTGAATATTGTTCAATTGATTCAACTGGAACAATTTGTGTATTAAATTAAGGATGTATTGATAAAAAATGTTCTTCTGCTCCTAAATCTTATGATAACAATTAATTATGTTAAGAGTGGTTACCATATTGCACAGTTAATGTCTAATTTTTATCAAATTCAAAAATATTGATTGGGTGTATAAATAAATTGGAGGATTGTCACTTTGCTCTTGAAGAATAATGCTATTCTACGTTTGCAGGAATTAATTGTAAATGGGATAGTGAAGGTAAAAGATGTATTTATCAAGTTTGCACTGATGCAGATCCTGACTTATATTTAAATAATGAAGATTGCAATTCATTTAAAGTCAAATAAGGTATTTGTATATTAGGACCTTATGACATTGGATGTTAATAATGGCCAAATAGTTGTTCTTAATTGTTAAGTTAATTTTAATGTTCATTAAATCTATAAGATGGAACATCGTGTTTTTGGACTGGTAGTTCATGTAAAACATTAGAATGTACAGATGCTTCTAAAATTGATTACACTAATAATATTGAATGCAATTCTTGGATAGATTATTGTATATATGACTCAATCTCAGGAGGTTGCAGGAATAGACCTATTTCTGAAGATTGCACATCCTCTCCAAATAATAGTATGTATGATACCCACTTAGAATGTATTGTATGGAATCCTAAATGCACTGTGGTTTCCACTTTTAATGCAGAAGGATGTGAATTAAAGAAAGCAAACTGTTTTGAATTCATCAGGCAAAGGAATTGTAAAACAAGCTTAAGTGGTTCAAATTGTTATTGGGATGATAATTAATAAAAATGTTTTGATGAATCTGGAGATAATGATTGTAATAAGAGAATTTATGGAGATTTATCACATCAAGATTGTGAAACTTTCCTATCTAAGTGTACAGTAAGTTTAATTAATAGCGTTTGCGTAACTCTTTCATTAACTTGTGATTATCCAATAGAATAACAATGTGTAATCAGAAGAGATTAATAACCTTGTAGATGGGATTATAAAAATAAATTATGCAAAGATCTAACATGTAAGGAAAACGTTTCTGCTTTAACAGAAGAAGAATGTTTAAAGTAGAGAAAGTTTAACTAATGTCAATTAAAGATTTAATCTAATGGGACATTTGGACCTGGTTGTGAGTCGAGACCATAATCTTGTGAGTTAATTACAAATCCGACTATTTGTAAATTAACTCTTACATCGACCAATCAAAGATGCTACTATTTTAATTTTAAGTGTTAAGTTGTACTATCTAGTTAATGTGAAGTTATTTAAGAAAGTAAAAGTAATGAGCTTTGCCAATTATACAATTCAAACTGTATTCTATAATAAAGTGGAAAAGGATGCTATTCTATTTACCGTTGTGAAGATTTAACTCATAATATTTGCAACAACGCCATCATGAAATTTAATTATAAGTGCATCTATTCTGACTATTGCAGTTTAAATAATGATTGCTCCAATAAACAATTATTCACAAGTACTTGTGATAACATAAAAACAGGATCAGGATAAAAATGTTATTTATACAGCTATTGTTATAAGTATTGCTGTGACTATTAATGTTTGTTATAAACTGCATAAATAACAATGCAATTTTATTTATTTACATCACTTTAGGAGAGAAGACAATTATGTTAAAATTATTCATCAAATTATAAATATGATACTAATTGTTAATGTTGTGTATATATGACTTCATGTGCACAGCAAGAAAGTGAATAATAATTATGTAATTCTTCAACTGCAAATTCAAATTTAAAATGCGGATTTAATTTTTAGACTAATAAATGTGAGACAAGAAAATGTGAACATTTAACTTATGCTAATTATCCTGTAATTACAAATCATAATTGTTATGATTGGAAATATGATTGTGTTCTTGGTATCGCTGGTTGTACAATTTTCACTGGAGATTGCACATAAATTAAATTAATTTATCAATGTTATTCATAATAATGTTTTTGGTAAGATGGTAAATGCTTAAATCATGTTGATTGTCAAATTAACACAACAGCCATTACAGATCGTGAATGTCTATTAGCAAACGCTGAATACTGTAGATTTAATTACATCAAAGGCATAGGATGTTCTTTTTATAATTGTAGTCATATCATAAATTCAACAATATGTAATTCATCAACTCTTGTTGATGAATAAAATTGCATATAGATCAGTAATTTATGTAAGAGCAAAACTTGTTCAGATTATACATTATAAGCTGACTGTGAAAATAGCTATGGCAGTTATTATTCAGTAGTTACTAAATGTTTTTGGTGTACATTAAACACTATAAAATGTTCCAATTTTGAATATTGTAGTTCAAGTAGCCTGGTTTCACCTGAATCCCATAACGATTGCTACAAAGCAAATATCTTTTCAACTATTAATTTTACAGCATCTTCAAAATGCACAATAAAAAAATAATTCTGTTCATAATACACCTATGAAGATGCCTGCATTAGTACTATAAATGGTTAAAGCTGTTACTGGAGTTCAAACCTTTGCGTAGATATCTGCTCAGCTACTACTAGTCCATTATCTACACACTTAGAATGCTTTAATTGGCATTCTGAATGCATGTCAAATGGAGCATCTTAATGCCAAGACTTAAATTGTGCATCATTATCAACTAATATATAATGTAATATTTTTACAGCAAAGTGTTTTTGGAATGGTTCGAACTGTCAAACTGTTGGTGCGTGTACTAATTATTCTACAAGCTCTTTGTGTTTAGATACTAAAAATTCAAAAGGAATTCCTTGCTTTTGGAATGGTATCTTCTGCACAGAAAAAACCTGCTACAATAAACCTACTCCATCTACAACATAATTAGATTGCCATAATTGGCTTAAAAATTGTTAATTATATAATAATGCATGTTTAGAAGATTGTACTTAAGCTGATATTACATATATTACACATAACTAATGTGAGTCTTTTTATTACAATAAAAGCTGCACTGTTAAGCTTGATATAATTTAATGTGTAGATCTTCCTATTTCATGTAATTACGCAAAAAAGACATAATGTTATGTAGATAAGGATGGAAACTAATGCTATTTTAATGTTTCATCAAATTAATGCGTTAATTTAATATGTGAAATTTTAGCAGCACCATTTATAAGTCATTAAAAATGTAACTAAAAATTAAAAGATTGTACAGTAAATGCCTCTTAGAGTGGATGCTAATAATTAAATGATTGCAGTAGTTATTCAATCCCAGAATAATGCTAAATTGATTAAAATAATGTTGAATGTGAATGGATATTCAATCAAAATAAATGTACTATAAAGGAATGCTCTACAGCCTAATTAAATATATATACAGCATATAGTTGCCGTCAGTATTTTGGTGATTCATGTACTGTAAATGCAAATTTAGATAGATGTGAGATTGGTCAAGAATTTTGTAGGAACTACACTTAAGAATAATGCACCAGTAATGGATAAATTAACTTAAATAAAATAGATTGTTTTTGGAATCTTGAAAAAAATATGTGTTAAGAAAAAATATGTGAGAATGGACCTACTTTTTCTTAAAATGATTCTGAATGTACAACATTCCTTCATACTTGTTAAAAAGGTGGTTGTCGTATAAAAGGATGTTTAGATTATTATTATGCTATAGATTAAGCTTGTGCATCTCTCTTTGAAGACAAAAGGTGTGTAACAAATGGAAAGTAATGTGTTTATAGAACAACCTGTGAGAATATAAATATGATTGATGGATGTACATATGATAAAAACTTAAATCCATGTATTTGGATTAATCATCAATGCTATACCAAAACCTGCGAAACTGCTTCAATTTCCCTTGTTTAACATGAGGAGTGTAATTCCTATCTTCAACATTGTACAGTTAAATAAGAAGGAGGATGTACTAGAAAATAGAGATGTTAGGACTACAAAATTAAAGAGGCTTGTTAAACAGATAGTGAGAATGCTGAATGCATTTGGGATGACAATCTAAATCAATGCTTCTTCAATTAATGTTTTGATTTTTGTGGAAATGGCATTGTTTCAACCAAAGATGAATACTGTGATGATGGCAATTATTTACCCTATGATGGTTGTTATAAATGCGAAGTGCAATGTCCATTAGGATGCTAGATTTGTAAAGGTAAATTGTGTTAAGAATGTTATAAGATAGGATGGTATTTGGTTGAAGGTGTTTGTATTACAAAATGTGGTGATGGCTATGTGGTAGGGAGTGAATAATGCGATGATGGAAATAATACTTAATTTGATGGGTGCTATTAATGTTCTTATTAATGTCATCAGAAATGTTTAAATTGTTTTCAAGGACGATGTTTAGAATGTGAAAAAGGATATCAAGAAGATGGACCTTTTTGTCATCACATTTGTGGGGATGGGTATCTTGTTAAAGAATTAGAATAATGTGATGATGGAAACCTTAATAATTATGATGGCTGTAGTAGTAATTGCAATATTGAATAGAATTGGAAATGCTTAATAGAGAATAATTTTAGTTCTTGCACCTACATAATTCAACCTAAAATTATATTGACCAAACAAACTAAAACATATACAAGTATTTAAGAAATTAAATTATCATTTTCAGAAAAAGTACGTCTGAATGATAAAGCCATTAGTGAGGAATAATTTCTTCAATTGATTATTATTGAAATATTGAATGCCAACAAAGACTAATACGATATTGAAATCAAACCTATGATTTCTATCACAACTGATTTGGCCGATGTAGCCTATAAATTATTAGTCAATTTTAAAACTGATGTTAAAAATCCTGTCCTAAAAGTTATAATATATAGTGGAAACATTGTAAATTTCTAAGAGAACTCTTTACACCCACAGGAAGCAAAATTAGAATTACGTTCTCCATACAAGATCTCAGATGATTAATAATCTCTATTGTCTCGGACTACCAATTTTAGTAAGATTGTTTTAAATGTCATAATTATTGTAAGTGGAATTTCCTGTTTATTTGGAAATTTAGAGATTTTATGGAATCTCCTTGATCTGCTTCAATAATTATCATATATGAAGTTTCATAATCTCGAATTTCCAGTAAATTTACAAGACTATTTTGAAGTTTTTGATATAGGCTCCTTTACTCCAATGATAAGTAAATTATAAATAGATATCTATTTATAAAATATTTTCAATTTTTCAGTTCCAGTCATAAAAGCTAAATGGAAATTTGAGTTCTATTAAATCAATTGTTACTTTTTGTAAAACTTTGAAACACTTCTAATGATGATTATAATGGGTCTTACTTATTTTATACTGTCATATTAATTTTATAAATTACTAATTTTAATCAAGTATTAAAATTGGTCAATAAACTTTCAAATAAATCATCAAAACTTTATATTCAAAGTTATTAAAATAGTTTTTTTCATTTAACGTTTTGCAAGAAAATATTATTAATATTTTATCTACTCTGGATTAATTAGAATTTTAACATCTAATTTTTACGAATTGACTTTTGCAGCTATTTTATAATTAGTAAATACTAAATTAGACACTACTTTTAATAAAATTATCTATTTTTTAGCTTTAATTACATTAATATTTAATATTTTCTTAATAATCTCTTTTTTTAGGTATCTAAGCTAAAAGAAGAAGGTAGCAAAAAATTTATCAGTTTTAGTAGAGGGAATAAGAAATGTAAAATTTTAAGGACTTAAATAATATTTTACAATATTATTGATCAAAAAAACCTTATTCATATTAAATTTAATTGTTTTTTAAGGTCTTGCAGTTGCTTAAAGTTTAATTACTGCTTGTATATTTGGAATATTCTTCTGTTATATTTTTTTTTATAAACCTTTTGAGAATAAATTTGAAAACATAAAAATTTATTGTACAGAATTTCTGATTATGATGAATGTTACTATCTTTTCTTTCTATGAATTTATGAAATTAAATCAAATTTCAGAGACGGCACAACTAATAGGTTGGATTAATATAGGTGGTTTTACCTTGATTCTTATTTTAACCTTAGTGATTGATACCTATCAATAATTATTCAAATACTTTAAATTTGCAAAAGAGAGATGGCGTTTAAGAAAAGAGGCCGAGTAAAAACGAAAATAAAAAATCCTTTTTTTTTGACATTATAATTAGATATAAAATTATAATTACTTTCATAAATAATTTTGCAAAACCAAAAATAGATTTCTAACATTTTTTTCGAGTAAACAAATTTAAAGATTCTCTTAAATTAAGTAAAGCTATATCTTTATATATAATCAGTTCTAGTAGATTCAATACATATAAAAAAGCGTTCAACTTCCTTTTGATGACGAAAAAGAATCAAAAATATAAATCACTTTAATTTTAACAATCTAAAACAATAGTTTTTTTACTATTAGAAGGTCTCAAACAAAATTCATATGATTTTCCCCTCAATTAATATTGATAATACTCTTTATATAGTTCTTATCGTAGAAAGATGCTTTTAAATAGAAGATACGTCTTTGCTACTATATAAATGATGAGTACTATTAACTTGTTCAAACAGTTAATTAAACAAAAACTAACTCATATATAAAAATTGGAAAATACTAAGGATTATTTAAAAAGTTTGATATATTGTTTAGGATACTCTATATGTTAAGAAGGGAGGAGAACATTTAACAGTAGAATAGCTAATAAAGTTATAAAATAGATGAAAACTAATTATTAAAGAATAACTTAAATCACGTTAGGAAAGAACAATTGATAGTGCAAACTTCAGATATTTTCAAGAAAGTAAGACAATTAAATTCTGTAAAAGGAGATGTTGTTATAAAGAATAGAAGTTAATTAAATTAATTTGATGTAACCAGATAAAAACTGAAGAGTACAAATTAAGTTATCATTTATAAAATTAAAAAAATATTACATTTTTTTTAAATGATAGGAAAATTAATATTTATAAAATAATAATCATAAAATTTTTATTTTTGATATTTATTTTAATATCTGTATCTGTTGGCAAATGTAAATCTAATAAATTGCATATTCAGAGTTAAAAGTTTATATTTTTTAAATATGTGAATCTTGATTTGGATAAAGGATATCAAGGTTCATTTAGGATTCGGGATTTTTCTTTTGAATGTAAACTACTTTATGAATATTAGAATAATTCAATAAAGTTTATAATCATTGAAAGATGAGGAAAATTTTATTGTATTACATAAATAGATAATAAATCTTAGGCATTTCTATAAAGGTAGTATAAAGTTTCCATTATAATAGGATTTCTAATTAGAAGATAAACGCAAGTCAATACGGTATATAAATTTAAATATTTCCTCAACAATATCCTTTGATGATTGGTTAAGAGCATCCATAAAATTTGATTTTGTGCATAAAATGATTTTTGTTAATTAAACCCAATTTTTTACAGATAAGAAATATATTTAAAAAGTTGATTATGATAAAAAAAAGTTAAATATATGAAGATTGGAGATATATCTGATAAAGAATATTTAATTTAAGGAACCAGAATATTTGAACCATGATTTTGTTAAAGAAATATTTATATAAAAAGGAAAGTTGAAGTTAAAGATGACAATATTAGATAAAGAGAAATAATATAAAATATTTTATAAATAAAAAATATTGTGAGATACCATCATCACAATGATTATTAACAATAATAAAAAATATTTCAAATTTTTTATTATTATTAACAAAAGAATAATAAAATATTATATCATATAGTGGAGATGTTATAGTTATAGAATGAAAATTCATCTGAATATTCTTCAAAATATATGAATTAAGAGAATTAACTTATTTTCATAAAATTTTATCTGAAGTACAGGCAAATTTACTCTATAAGGCATTTGAAACTTATGAAAGATGAAATTAAAATTATAAATATTATGATAAAAAGATATTGTAATACATATTGTTTATGAATTAAGTTAAGGAGATTGTGTTATTGAAAATGTACATTATTTGATGTTAGATGAACTTAAAGATGTACCAAAAACTGTTTCAATCATATTAGATTAAATGGCAGAATTTGGACTATTGTTTTGCGGAGATAAAGTATAAAATATTGAAAAAGGAATAGGATTTACATTTTTTTGAAATTTAAAATTGTCTATTAATTTAAAAAAATTGACAGAAGAAGAAAATTAAATCTAAAATTTATTTGATTTGAATGTTAATTTTCAATCACACAATTAAGTTCTATAATTTGTCAATTCTGTAATTAGAATATTCGCTTTCCTTCTAAAATAGATAGATTAATGAAAGAAATATCTGATTTAGCTGGACCAAATCTAAGGAATTTTTACTAATGAAAGAAAAAAAATTGAATTCAGATGTAATTAAGCAATTATTGTGGCTGATTAAAAATCTAAAGAAATGAAACTACTGAATCTGCATATTTTGAGGAAGTACCAGAATTTTTTATTAAATTAATGATTTTAAAGAGCACTTGATTGTTATAAGAAACTCAATAATTGAGAGAAAATTATAGAATTATTCAATATACATAAGAGTGAATTTACAATTGATGACAAAATGGCTTTCTCAAACAAAAATTTTCCAAATTTTCTATAAGAAATGACTGATTAGATCGAATAAGTAGAAAAAAAAATTGCTTACAGAATGTTATTTAAGGTTCAAATACAATTTAAGAAAATGAAGATGATTTCACTTAAATTTTTTAAATAGAGATATTTTTTATAAATAAATCAGTTAGATGATTAAGTTAAACTGAAACATTTTGGGTTAATAGTTAAAAATAACATAAATAATATGATTATTTATGATGTTCAATATTCTCTAGATAATTAAAAATTTTGAAAAATTGAAGCTAGTATTATTAATATGTCAAAAAGAAAATTTACATTAGTGATGCTTACAAATAATTTTGAATAAGTGATTAAAATTATTGTGTTTTGACCCAGAATATATTCACTTATTCTTTAAATATTTTAATAGTTACTAGTGTGATATTTAGGCAATTTATAAAATAAGGTGTAAGATAAGAGCTTATATAAAAAATAGTTGCATAATTCAAAAATTAATTTACTAAATTGGTTCTAAAACATAATGGAATAATGTCAAAGAAAAATAATTGATAAAAAGAAATTCATTATTAAAAAGAAATTCTAAAAAATTGAAGAGGAAGTTAAAACAATTCTCGACTTAAATGAAGTGAATAAATCTGAAATAGGATTAAGTTTTATATGGATGCTATTAATAATATTTGAATCCTCTTTTATTTTTTTTTAATTATTAACAATGCCGAAAGTAAAAAGTATATAAAATATTAAAAGTAATTATTATATGATTTTTTTCTTATTTATAATCTCAATTGATTATTTTTATGCTATAAGAAATATCGAGATAACTTTAGGCCCATTAACACAATAATCAACAACATATGTAATTTATTAAGACGAATAACTTAATTAATAATTTAATTTATAATAAACTTGTTGGAGCAATTGTTCACCTTTAGATCTATTATACATAAAATCAAATGTAAATTAGAAAATAGCCTTCACACCTTTAAATATCATTAACACAGGAGATAGAGATTTAGTAATAGACTCAATAGGTTTAACAACGTAGAAGGGATAAACTTTAAAAATATCACTAAGTAATAAATATTTATATTAGATAATACTAATAATATTTTAGTGAAAAAAAATGAAATTGGGATAATAAATATTCAATATATTTGTGAAAACAAATTGACAAAGGAAAATTATTGGGCTGTCATTGATATAACTCTAAAAATATAGAAAGAATAATTAAAGTTTTCATATTAGTATATTTGTGATCCAAATTTCCATCCTAAAAGATTTGACTGGAGCTATTTAATTTTGATAGTAATAATGTCAACATTTGTACTTATCTTATCAAGATAACAAAAATTAAGTGCATTTAAAATTACTTATTACGATAACTAAAATAATAAAAATGTTGTAGTTTTTTAAGGGTTTCATCTGGGTTTGAAAAGTGCTGTTTTTTATAATTTTATATTTTCAATAGGTTTAATTTCAGCATATATATTTGAAAAAAAAGTAGAAGATTTTGAAGAAAACTTAGTTCGATTCTTTTGTTTAATTTTTGGATTTATTTTGATAAGCGAAGTTAAAATTAATTTAAATTTAGATTTTTTATAAAATAAGATTCTTAAAAATAAAAATAATCTTTTTTTTAAGAGCTTGTGATATAATTGGTGTACTTATGTCGATTTTAACTTTACATTTATATGTTGAAAATAATGAACCTTGGATTGTATAAAAATTAATTAATTATTTAGATAAGTAACATGTTAACAATATTTTTGGTTGGAAGTTCAATCAAATTATTTAAGATAACTAGTTTAAAAAATGGCATAACCTTTTTTGTTCCATGTATAATAATGGATATATTATTTTCAATTTTTGGCAGTTTGTATGTACGTTATGAATGGGATAGTCTTATTATGAAATATTTTAATACTCCTCTTACTGCTTAATTTCCTTACTTTTATCCCATATATAAAAAAAAATGTGGATGGTTGTCAATAACTTCTATATTATTTCCAGCATTTTTCTTAGCATATGCCCATAGATTTGATAGATATAAAGATTCAATTATTTATAGACTTATTTCCTATATTGGTTTATTAGTAGGATTAAGTTTATGGTTTACCTTTTCTTCACTATATTCAATACCATTACCAGTTTCATCATTTACTCTTTTTCCAACTATTGGAATTTGTGCTATCATAGCATTTTAAAGAAATGAAATTAAGATAATGTGGAATGGAGATTTCTACGATCAGGTCTTATTAAACCCTTGGAGGCATTAAATTGAACCAAAAGAAAGATAATCAATCCATATAATAGGTCAAGATATTGAACTACCAAATCTTTTAAAATAAGAATAATTAAATTAGTAACTATTAAGACTGTCAAAAGGTTAAGTCAAATTTGATAATGAATTATTTAAAGGATTATAAGATTGATTTTATTTTGATCAACATTAAATTAATACTATTTTATAATTTATTTATAATATAATAATTTATTTTATTATCCAAAAACATATGTACGACAAAAATCAGCAAATTATATAATATTTACCTTAATAAAATTTATAAAAATGAATTAATCAATTTTTCAGCAAATTTTTATTTGATATAAATTTTATTTAAATAAAGAATCAAATACAGATATGAAAGAAAATTATGTTTGAATTGAAGATTACTTATAATTTAAAGACTTTTTTAGAAAAAATTATTTTTCAAGTTTAGAAATATTTCAAACCAAAGTTATAATAGTCTTATAAGAGGGTAATATTAGATAAGAATTTATTTAAGAGAGCCTGAAGTTCGTTAAAATTAAATTTTAAATACTTGTTTCTTAAAATCCAAGATAAAATACAAAGGATTTGAATATCCTCTCAAATAGATTGAATATTTTGATCAAATTATTTTAAAGGTTGGCTAAATTTTTGAGATAATTAAACTTAAGTACATGAGCATTAGATTCTATTAAAATTACTTCATAATTTAATGCAATTATCTATCCATATTTATTTTTAATAATAAGATATTTTCAAAGATGCATATTATTTTATTATTATATTTCATTTTTAGAAAGTATTTCTTTTTATATAGTGTAATTTTAGTATTTCAAATAAAATAAAAAGCACTAATAAATTAGATGTCGTTTTTCAAATTCTTCATTTTTATTGTTGTGAAAATTAACAAGATAAAGAAATGTAAAATATTTTACTAAATAAAATATAATACATTTCTATCTCTACTTTCATCAATAGGTTTAGAATTATTATTTCATCATAATCATTGTCTACAGGTAGAGAATACTTAAAATTAATCTAATTTATTAACTAGAATTTTATTAATTGAAATAATTTCAACTTATTGGACTTTGAATGTATTTTAAATATTCTTCGTTCTGTATTTATTGTACCTTCAAATTATATGATGTGATTCCTTTTAAACAAAATCTTTTAAATATCAATCAAATCGCTAAGTAGATTGATAAATAACCTTAAAAACTTTATGAAGAAAAACTATTGCATATGTTTAAAATAAACTTTTTAAAATTAAAGACATTGTTAGTTTTTTTTATCATAAAGTTTCTAATTTGTTTTGATAAAAAAAATAGAATTTCTTTTAATTAGTTGATTCTTATTTGAATTTTGATAGTGTGAAGCATTTTATTAATTTAAAAAGGATTGCTATTATAATTCTCTTATATATGAAAATATTAATTTTATACCTCTCATTATAAATAAAAATAATCATAATAACTTTGAATAAAGGAAATACGACTTAAAAAAATTATAAATAATTGACGAAAATTTGAATATAGAACCTTAATTTCATTAAATTTTTTACTTGTTCAAAGATCATTACTTCTTTTACATTCTAAAAACAGGAAAAAATTTAAAATAAAAAAAAGAAATCTTATAAGATAAATTGTATTCCATGGCAACTGTTTTAATAAAATCAAACCTATAAAATCATAGTTTACTATTTTTCTAATTCTTGGAATCAGAAATTTAATAATAACATTTATAATAGTGGGCTTAATTAATTATAGGAAAATAGGGCTTAGAGGTAAAGAAATAGAAATTCTTCTATTTTTATTAAGTCCCTTAAAAATGACAGAAAATATTTTACAATTTTTAAAATTTGTTATAACTTTGATTTACAATTATTGCATATTCTGTTGATATTGTACTAAAGGACCTAACATCAAATTAGGTTCATTTAAGTTTTGTTATTCTAAATTATTTAAGTAATAAACTTCTACAATATAATTAAATTTGTTTGAAAATTGCTGAATGAAAATGCCATTTTATAAATTGCATTAGCCAGAGTTGAAAAATTACCATAATTTGGAATAGTTCCAAGAATATAATACTCAATATATATATAATTATAAAAAAAAAAGAATTCGATTAAGGGATATTGTAAATAGATATAAAATCCTACTCAATAATCATATTCAATCCAAGAATTTAATTCTTTTAAATAAATTTTTCCGATAAAACTAAAACTATTAATATCAAATAGGCAGAAAGATTGCTTATTCATTAATTATTTCCAAAATTTGAATTGACATCATCAAATTAGAAGGGATTTGAATCCAAATTTCATATGTATATTTTTGTAAATTATGAGTATTGCCTTATATTTCCATAATGTATTTCTAAACTGAAAAAATCATTATTTTATTTTGTTAATAATCTTTGAAACTTTAAGAAAATTAAGCAATTGAAAAATCAGTGCATTAACAAAGAGAAAATTGTTATCAGATTAATCAAACCAATAAATATAATGTTAGATTTTAAGAACTTAATTTCTAACCTAATATAAAATTTTTGCCTAAAAAAGTTGTTGTTATTTTTTAGAAATAAGAAAAAGTTCCTGAAATCTTTGTAAGTTGTCGAAATTTAAATCATCAGATGAGTTTAAGTTAACCAATATGATGAAAACATATTTTGATAAATTGTATACAATTAGTTAGAATTTGAGGTTGATTAAAAGTATTTCATTAAATTAATATGTGAATAAGTCAAATTAGGTCGTTTTTTCAAATCACTATTAGTAATCTAAATTAAGTTTTAATTCTGTAAGGCAAAAACTGATTATTTATTGATTGATTAATTAGTAATTAACATTCTCTTAGTTTTAATATTATGCATATTCATAATTAGTTAAAGTGCATAAAACTAAATTACTGATAGTACCATTGCTAACTTATCCTTATCTATCAAGTATTATAAATAAAATAAATGTTAATTTTCTAATAATCAAAACATCTATAAATTTAAAGGAAAAGTTATAATTTTATGTTGGAGATTCATTTTATCAGAAGTCAGATATATTTCTTAATTATAATTCTAAAAACTGTAAAATTCGTATAGGTGATTTTTAATACTCAATCTAAAAATTTATTTTAGAAATCACAGGCTGTTCGATTTAGTTGTGAAGAAATATAAAAATTATAAATTACTTTTTTTAATGTTAAAACTAAAAGGGAGAAAATTTAAAAGAATATTTTAGAATACCTAATTTGTGCTAAATTTAGATTTTTTTGGATTAATTTAAAGGATAAATATTTATAAAAATTTAGAATTATAGTATTTTATATCTTCATCAAGAGTCCATAAACCAATTTGTCAATTTAAATATAAAAATAGTTATTTTGATGAATCCATTTTCATCTCTGTCCAAAAATACAACCAAGTTTTATGTGTTTACTTATTAATTTAATTAATAATCTAATATTTTCATGATTCTTTAAATAGAGACCTAAAAAAACGATATTTAAAAATTTAATATTGTATCTTCATTGTTTCAACTTGTAAATGTCTAATAATGTTTTATATTTCTTTATTCATCTTCTATTACTTTTTAAAGAAAGATTGCTCTTGATAAATTTCATTTATATCTTTTCTTTATAATCCTGCCAACATGTATGCGTACATATGTTTTTATAATTTCAACTAATAAAATAACATCATACTTTTAATTTAACTTGAGATTTATCATAATATTAGATATAGAAATAATTTGTTAAAAGAAAAGATTCTAGAATTTCTTAGACATCAAAATTTTTAACTAGAAATATGATATATTCAATTATTGCTGTATTTTATTAAATTTATATTTTTATAGAATCTTTTATAAATTTATTTCGTATATTTCACTAAATTTAGCGATAAAAGATAAATTAAAATTTAAAGATGCTAGTGGAGAAGGCAAAATCAACCAAAATTCCTTAAATAGTTTCAGTTGGTTTCTCTTCATTATAACCACAAGGCCAAAATCATAAAGCTAAACATGCAGAAAAAGGTTTACTTTCATAAAAAATTCTAAAAGAAGAATTCTTTCTAAAAATTAAATCATCATAAATGTATTCCTTTTAAGATTTTATTTTTAATGTTATTGAATAATAATTAAATAAATAATTACGCAATTAAGTAATTCTAATTCAAAAATTATTATACTAATAA